ACTTGAAAAAATACGCCGAGAGATTCCCGAGTGACAAAATTTCATTGAACGATCGGGGTAATAGACCTTTCTGTGAATCGCGATATCTTTTGCTGGACATAAACTGAATTTCACGCTGTCACACAAATAATTGTGCCAGTTTTGGAGCAATTGATTGATTTTTGCAATGTAGCATGAATCATCGATATACCTTTAAAGGTCACATTACTTCCATCTATTCATCACCAATGCATCGTGCCAAATATGCATGGAATTTTGAATATTGGCATTTTGTCAAAATACTTTCGTTCTCTTTCGACGAACTCAACCCTCTTTGCACGTGTAACGAATTTCGAAGTTATATTACTCACGTTAGATATGTGGTCCTTTAAAATCCATTAACATTTTTAAACACTTCAAAATTTCAATTTTTAGAAAAATTATTTATTTAACATAACAGAAGAAGTAAATTATTTTAAATAATAATAAAAAAATAATTTTCTCAGTACGTCATAAACATTAAAAATTATACATACACATTACAAAATAAACTGTAATTATGTGTATACAGAAGAAAACATATTTCAATATTGAATTTTTACAATGAGTTTTTAACGTTTCTTTCAAAGATCTGTATATTATTTTTATATTATAATGTTTTATTGTTTTTTAAATATAGTATTTTGGTGTGTAAATCTCTTTTTTATAGTTATGATAAAATTTGTTGTAATAATTTTTCAGCCATTATAATAAATGCCATATTGCATACCTTTTAACGAGTTTTTAACGAGTTAACTTGAATCCGCAAACGACAATTATTTGACGCTATATTGTACTTCAAGTACAGCATAAAAACAATAAAATACACATGCAACGTTCTCAATAATATCTGATGCTCTCATGAAACGCGGAAGTTATGTATAATGCAATTGCGACACCGAGACGAATTATAGGCAATTAAGGTGAATTAGAAATAATGTTTTTTTGCCGATTGTTTATACATTAATTATTCTTCAAAGAGATTGGTATCTACAATATAAACTAAAGATACTATATACATATATAGATTAAACTTAACCGAGCTAATATAATATAATTTACTCACTGTCTACGTATAAGTGACGTAGTCCTAGATTTAGCCAGTAACATACTTGCCGATATCAGTTTAATCCAGTATTTGAAGTATTTGAGCACGCGTTATGGTACCTGACGCAAGATGAATATATAGCATACATACGATAACTAAACGACACAGCCGACGTATTGAAATTCTGCTGATGTAATTATACCCATGTCAAATGTATGAACTTGAACACGGAAACAAATGATTAAACTCGACTATTCTTTCTTTTGATTTGAGTTTACGTCCAATCGACTATATATTTCAAATTTGAAAAGATAATTACAAATATTGTTAATTTTTACGGTGAGAATAACACTATAGTTAAGTCATTAAAATTAAATTTAAAAAAACAGCGAGCTTGCAGAGGATTTAAATTTTTTAAGCATTCAGCATTAAATTTGCATTCCAACCTTGTTGCGTTTTTGTAAAAATGCGAATTTTCTTTTTCGTGAAAAGAAGTAAGTAGATAAGTAAATAGAAAGATTTTAATTTTATCTTACTTTTTCGACAAATTTGCGCTTTTGCAAAAATAGCGAATATCAATAGAAATAATATTCTCACTTATTAAATAAATAATTTCTCCAATTTCGTCGATATGCACACAATAAAGTAAATTTAATTCTCTGTAAAAACCATCGGAACATATTGTTACCTATTCCAATCTATTACAATAAAATTTTAAACTAGTTCAAATTATTGTTGACAATTAATAAAATTCTATTTTTTTATCTAATAAACTCGCATCAACATCATTTCCTATGAGAATTTGAACTCTAATATATGTGTGTACATATAATATTTATATAGAAGTTAAATGTATACACTATATATATATATAGTTTACAAATTATGCAGCATATATTATAAAATAAAATTTGATTTATACACTTTTTATAATAATTCTGTTAAAGTAAACAAGAATCAATTAAAATCACTAGATAATTATGTGGAAATTTAATAAATGTATAAAAGATATTACTGCATTTTTCTGTTTCTTTGCTAGTTTCTATAATTAACTAGTAAGTTAAACGGCTTACGTCGTGCAAATTTCACTTTGAAATTAAAACGTTTTTTTTTTCTTGATAAGAAAAATTTGCACGAAGTTACAATTGTCATCGTCGCAATTGTGTTTATATATCTATAGAAGAAATATCTTTTTTCATTTCATATTATTATAGAAATATTATATGGCAAATATTGCCTATATTGTACATGTTTACGTTTATATATAACTAAATAATAATCTAATTACTAAGAAAATTATAATTTGTGTAGTAATTAAAGTAAAGAATTTTGTATTAAAATACATAGTTTGCATAATATTTTTTGCTTTATTACTACACACATATATCATTTCTGCTAAAATTAATGCAAGATATTGTGCAATTGATTTGCTATTACTATATATTTTAACTCTTTTAAGCAAGATGATTTACAATTGCGCACCGACAGCCGTCACATTCTACATTGTTTATATGACACACCTGTCATGTCCGCGGAATATCTTCTTCCGACAAGATCTCTGATTATACATGTAACCAATCCGCTCTCGCTCACGCGAAAAAGCTTATTATATATAACTATCCTTATTTCCTTTAGGACGCAGAAATTATTAACTAGATTAAAAGAGATCAATTTATTTTAGAAATTATATAATTATCAATTATATTAATAAGTTATATATCTTTTTAGTTATATTTAGCAAGCAGATTTTTATCTAAGTAATACTTGTTAGAAAGTATTCATATTCTACAATATGCATATGACACAGATGTAATAAGAGACGATATACATGCAAAGATAATAATTCTAATTAGTTGCTCTTAAATATTAATAGCTATTTGGATTTTACAAATAATTTTATTGTTAATGGTACTTCAATGAAGCAAAAAATGTAAAAATTTTTTTATTGTGTGAATTGTTTCTTTACGACGTTAAAATTATCGAATAGTAGCGCACGGTTTACATAAAAGCATGCCCATGTTGACATGCTAAGCTCGCCTGTCGTTTCTCTTAAGGAAACCAGCACATTCATGGTAACTCGTTAAAAGGATGTTAAAAAAAGGCGCATCCACCGCTTATATCATCCCAACGTCGCACAGCAGTGGATTTGATTATCAGCCGCACACACCTGGCAGTAAACTGTCGTTAGCGCGTAACACAATGCCGCTAGCAATATGACTTGCATCGTCTTAAGTATTTTTTATGTATTGTATTTTAAAGTCATTGATATACCAGACACATGGCAATAAATGTATCTATTCGTTAAAAAAAAAAATCTACAATATTTTGAGTCTACTTAATTGTGCGCGCTACTACAGAAACCAGCATCTGCTATCTTTCGAATTAAAAATAGAGATTTTTATAAAGAAAAAAAATATATAATGTTTTGTGTACGGAAAAGTATCAATATACATAATTGGATACATTAATTGATGGAAATTTTATTTACTTGCGATTTAAAAGAAATAAAAGCGTGTTGTCTTTTAAATTGTTTCAAGTAACAATAGAATCATTAATGACGCATATTTGATGTTAAATTTGCGTTTTTCATTTTTTGACTACATGTTCTTATATTTTTTGTTTTTGGAGTAAGAGTACACTTGCACGTCAGAAAAAGAAAAGAGGTGAAGATATTAAATATAGCTAAAAAAAAAGCAATCCATTGTCAAGCATTGGCTACAGTATTTTTTTGTACGATGTATCTACATAAAATCATTGCTTTCTTGACGACAGATTATAAACGAAGCGTAAGACCGCGCAGATGTAGCGAAGTGTTTGCGATATCGTCAAGCAAACAAGAACAATTATTTATTTAACTACTTATCAATTATCGATTATCGATTAACTGCTTGTAAAAAAAATTAGCATTGATCGTAGATAAGAGAATACCGATAGTATCTCTATAATAAATACCATTCTTTTATTAAATAATACGCAATTTGAATCAATATGCCAATTGCTTTTAAAATTTTCACGTATTTAATCTAAAGTAAAGAAATTATATTTTAAATTTTTATATCTTTTTTTTTAATATTAAAGAACTTCTGTATTAAATTTATATACATATATTACGTACACATATATATATAAAATATGTTACACATAATATATGAATGTAATATATATTTCAAACATTATTTAAAGTTAAATTTAATAACAATATGATATCGTATTCAACTTTTATTTTAAAACTTTTAGTACTCTTAATTTTAACTCCAATAAAGAAATAATTCAAGAATCAATGAAATATATTTTAAATTTTACACTACAATATTTATTATTAAAACTATATTTATTCTTAAATTTTTCATTAAAAAAAATCTAGATAAAATATATTAAATTTATTATATATACAAAATGATAAACATGATAAACATGATTTATCTATGTATTGCCGTAAAATATGATAAGAACAACATGAATAACAAATGTTATCTCGATAAGAAGTAACTACGATGCTTAAAGCCAGAAACACTAGATTTTTTTTTACATCCGTCAATATACATATATTTTTCTTCTTTAGGAATTTGTAAATACGGTTCAGTGATTTAGTTTATCCTTCGGCAGTAATGAAACATGACTGTAAAATGCTCTTCAAAAGCCGCGTAAAGGATTCCGGCGCAGAAAGACCGGCATTGCATCACTTCTGCCAGCACCGCTTATTAGTAACAACAATAGCAAACACTAACTCGACAGAAGAGAGCGGATAATTTATTCGCGGATCAGTTTACGCTTCCTTCCAGTGTATAAATTTCGAAGCAGGAATTAAATTCAGTATAAGGTATTTCCGCAAAGGGGATCCCTTCGCGCCAGCATGAACGTATATATTGCCGTGAACGTAAACATAAAGTCAACGTCATCGACCGCATTGACAGTTCCACGCCGTCTATATAAATGTCAGAATCACTGAAAAAGGTGGTAGTCGCTCGCGGAACTCGATCGCACGGCCATCCTTCGGTGACTCGTGCCGATAATGAACGCAAACTAAACTGTCTCGTTGCGATTTCGTTACGCGAACGACTCTTTCCTAAAATAAAAATTTGCCGCGCACATACGTTTCCACGAACAGACGAAGTTCAACGAACAAATTTCTAAAGTGGGAACTCGGCTAATTGCAGTGCAATACTATTAATACCGAAACTCTCTTTTTTAGTGACTTACGTGATTTTGAAGTGACAAGTATCGAGGTGAGTTACGGCTCGCTTTTTACCACACGGCTAAGTTATTTTTATATTTGTGAATAGCTTTCTTCATTACGTTCGATTTTCTATTTTTCTCTTTGAGAACCCTACCGCTCCTGTTTTATAACACAATTTCTTTCAACTCTCATTGTTCGTACATTAACCCTTAGGCATTTTTTCACGAATACATGCACGCACAAAGCTCACTTCTCTTTTCGCGCCATCGTTGCATCAACCGCCAATTTTCGAAATACGAGCGGACCAACGCGACGGGCGACCTTCACGCCTTTTCATCTCGCGTCATAAACGTTCTGCATTCCCGCCGGTGGCGTTCTTTTGCAAAGCGTGATGAAAATCGCGCTCGTTTCTCTTGAAAACGCACATTCTTTTATTCTTATTCCCTCCCTCTTCATTTTCCTTCGTTCCTTACGCAAGCACGTCAAGGTTTACGAAAACGTGCTGCATGCAGTACGTCCGCGCCCACGCAAACTCGAAAAAATCGATGCACGCATGTTCCCGCTAGCCTCGCGAATATACGCATGCGGCCGTGTTCATAGTCAGAATGTTTACTACCCGAAAGAAACCTAGAATTTTCACGGGATTTATACATCTGCGTATATTCAAGTACATTTTCATGTGTCTCGCGAATTTTTATAAAGATAATCGGGGTGAACAATAATTAAAGATACATAATATACTCAGAAAAAGAGAACAGATACTATATTGTAGTGAATTTTTCCTATTCTATCCTAGGTTTCCAATTGTAGAAACTGATAGATATAATTTTGTAGAATCCCTGTTTTTTTATTAATTTTCAATATATAGTTTGTTTGCATTGATTGCATGCACTCCGATTTAATTCAAAGTTGCATTAAAAGATTCTCTAGTTAAAAATTTTGAATAAAAACCTGAAAAATTCGAAAATTCTCAACAAATTTTTTTTACAAGATTTTAGTAAACATCTTGATTATAGTTCTATTTAGATATATCTTTGCGTTCATTGAAATAATTTTAAGTGAAGGATCGTTATTATAGCAATTTGCAAATATTACATCGCATATCCTCGCAATTGGAACTGCGCGTGTCTATTACGCCTCCGCGCGGCGCCTAAGCGGCCGTGGAAAGGGAAGTTTGCGATGCATACTTCTTTTCGTAATATACTCGAGGAGTTTTGATCCACCAGAGGTCCAAATTTTCGTGCTGACGCTCAGTGCCTTGTGTCAGATTCTCGCAGATCGCTTCAGCAATATTGTAAATCGCAAGTCGCAGGTGATTGTGAAATTTTTACACTCTCTCCCTCCGTCTCTCTCTCTCTCTCTCTCTCTCTCTCTCTCTCTCTCTCTCTCAGCTTCTAATCGAATCTCGCATCGTGATAAGTATCAGATTGAAATTTTATTCTGTAATGCATGATTTTATCATCATCTTTTGTTACGCACTTATAAATATTTCATAATCGATTATATCCATAATAAAACGTGATCAACAAGTGAATCAAATTTAGATTTTGCACCGATCGCTTAAACACGGTACGTATTTATTTCGGAATCTATGTCTATTTTAATTTTTCTATCGCTTAACTGATAGCGCGCATAATTGATAAACTATTGAATTACTATTTGAACTAATCAATTTGAAAGATGCATTAAATAACTTACTTTATTTTATTTAAATACATTTATAAAACTTTAAATAATGACTTTTTTAAAATCTTTTCTTGCTTAATAGTAAAGCAATCTTTTATTATAATTAATTAATTAATTTATTAGTTTTGTAAATAAACTATCACTTTTTACGATCAAAATACGTTCTTGATTTAATTCTTTTCGATCTGGCCTTATTTTAACATAAAAAATAGAAAAATATTTTTAATAAAATAATTTTATAATTTCTTCAGCTAAGTGGATTGTTTCATGTATACTGATGTTTTACCGATGTTTATAAAATATGTAAATATTATTAAAAATAATTGAATAATTAACAGAATATGATTTAAAAAAAAATTAAATTTTCGAATATAATACACAATAAACAGTTACATGAAATATTATATAAATTTATAGATACAAATTAGAGCAAACTGTTTTAATTTAATGTAAATGTAATTTTTTTTAAATTTGTACTATTTTTAAATTATGATGTAATTACATTTTATTCTGTTAATCCTCGGGTCAGCTTATATTTAGTCAATTTAATCTAAATTCAAAAAGAATAAATTAAACAAAGAAATATAATAAAATTTTAATGTGTGGAAGAAAGAAAATATAAGTCTCTTGCACAATAATTACATTCGAATGATATTTATTAGTGACAAGTATTCATTGGTGACAAATAACATGTACGCATTATTGAAAACGCATTATCGTTTGAAATTCATTATCTTTAAAATAGATTGATCATTTAATTATCTGGAAAAAGCATATGAAACTGGCTTATTATTTTGATCGATTATCTATTCGCGATTCGCCTGTCGTGTAAGTCAGTGATAAATCGAAGTCTTGGTCCGAGCCGAGTTGATAAGGGGAACGACCGTCAATGGGAGGTACTTTCAAGGACATCGTAGGCGTCTCGGTGTCACCGTTGTTGACAACAAGAACCGCATGTATGAGAAAGTAAAGCTCGCGACAACAACCGAAAACCGTTTCATATATTTATTTGTTATGTTGGCATTGTGAGGTGTATGCATTTGCAAGCACGAAGCGATAGTAAATCGATGAAAATGAATCGTGTCTCGCCGTTGAACATTCGTTATTGATTTCGAGTTACTACTTGACTCTGTTTTCCATTTCGCTGACCCGTAATTTTGTACAGGTGCATTGAATCAAAAGAAGGATTCAGATACAGGACAAAAATTATACGAGATCTTTATTAGAAGAGTTATTTTCTCGTTTTACCCCGGCAGAAATGCCTGTCTGTGTTCATTCACTTTAATTATTTTTCCCTTTGTTTTCCCTTTCTTTATAATTTCCTATTGTTTTTTTGCAAATGTTTTATAATTATCTATTGTTTTTTTGCAACTCATAGTTTGACAAGTAATGATAAAATTATAAATCCGTCAACGTTTTTTTTTCTTTGATGCAACAAAGCTAAACAAAAGTGGAATTGTTTATATCAAAGCGTTTTTATATTTATAATTTTGGTTAAAAATAAAAAAGTTATAGGTATCTAAGATTTTAAATATATAGAAAAGAAAAAAGGTTTTTATTTCTTTTTTAATTTAAATTGGGCTTACAAAAAATTGGGTAACCAAATTTAATCTCTTATTTAATTGTTTAAATATTTTTAACGTTGAAATTTATGAAACGTTATAAATAATTGTCTTAAAATATTGTTGTTTATAAAGAACACTAACTTTTGATAGATATCAGAGGGAGAAGAAAAGAGATAATCACTTTAATTTTTCGAGAACACATTATATAATCGCATTGATTCTTTCATTGTCATTAGACAGATAAACGTTTATAAAAATAACCCTTGTATCAATTTAGTACAAAAATAAGAAAAAATTGGCAGATATGATAAGTTGTTATATTCATGCAATATTTATTTTAATTTTTATTATACATCGCTATTATTTTCTCAGATAGTCATAATAAAAAATTGTTCATAAATCGTTTTAGCGCTAGTCATTGCTAGTAAATCTCTCAAATTTGCAAGACGTTGAACCGCACAATTGAATTTTGGGAATATGGCCAAATGATTACTCGAAAATTTGCGTGCCGCAAAACGCAGTCATATTACTATTTATAAGTCTGTAGGAAAAAGAGAGAATGAGAGAGTGAGACTGATAATATTTTTTGCACATACTCGCTCACAAACACAAGACAATCTTTAAATATAGACCTGTCCGACAGTATCTTATCTTATTTCCGAAACTTCCGGATAGTTCACATGAAAGGTGAATTATCCGAACATGCGACCGGTCACTGGTATTCATTAATTGAAGAGCAGAAGTCATACATACATACTGCAAACATTTGATCAATCTGACTCATTGCTCGTAAATGTCCGTAGTCTTTTCTGCGAAATACTTCGTGACCTTAATTGCCCTTCTCGTAATCACTCCAGGAGACCTTCTAATCGATATTGAATCACATGTCGCCTTCCGAAAATTGCAACGTGCGTAGTATTAAAGAGATTATTCTATTTACGCGTTATGCCTAAATAATATAGGGAAATTTCCAGCAAGAGATAAAGATGACTCCTCAATGTCGATTTGTATCGCTGGAAAGTTCCCGTAATTACACAATAGGCAGAACATATATATAATGTACGTACATCGGAATAGATTGTTACTGTACATTTGTTGCCTTCCTTTTAGAATTATCGTTCTAGCTATTTAATCACCTTTTTACTTAACTATTTATGCGGAAAGATAATGGCTTGCGTAATGTGCATGGATAGCCGGAAAGTAAAAAAATATATTGCTTGTAATGCAATTTTCAGACCAAGCAAGATGGAGAATCGTTTTCAAAACGACGCACCGAAAAGTGATGCGATTGGACAATTACAACAAAATATCAAGAGATCCTCGATATCTATTAATGTGGGCGTAATGTCGGACGTATTTCCACGACTGGATCATTACAGGTATAGTTTTATAAGATACATCAATATATTACATATGTACATGTATCAAATTAATTACATATATACACTTCTTAATTATCACATTATATGTTTTGTTGGTTTGAAAAAAAAAAGAACTCTTAATTATTACAAAATTTGCTATATTTATCATAGTCTAGCGTCTGTTTAGTCTGTTTTGTTTAAGTAATATTAGATAATTGTTAATTTCTTTTTCGCATTTACGTCTCCATTATAAAAAAAATCTGTACCGTTTTTCATACATTTATCCGAGAAATATTTATTTGATTTGGCGAATCGAACTGGCTAGAAAAATAATAATTTTATCATTACATCTGCACCAATCTCTTTTTTTTATAGAATAAGCCGTCGCGCAAAAAGACCATCTCTGGGCGCTCTACATAATGGAGATGCAGTAAAGGTGAGGAAACCTATACATTTATGCTTTATCACAGGTTAATACAATAGTATTAAAATTTCAAATATTAAATAAAAAATCTAAGACATTTAAAATAAAATAAATAAATATGACATAATAAATAAATAAATAAATAAATCATATATTTAAATCTCTTGATATAACTAGCCACCTACACTGTCGCCGCACGATTGATAACTAGTTATATCAAGAGATATATGATCTCTTTAATACTTTGCAAAATCCAACGTGCAAAATCCAATTTCAAAAATCGCGCAAATGCCAATGGAATTTTATCAACTCTCGAAAAATGAGAGTAAGTGCATACTTGCGCTCAAGATCAAATGGGTATCTCACCGTTTAATATATTATTATATATAATTAAAACACTTTTGTGAAATATTTGTTTCTCAAATGTCTTTTGAAATATTTTAGCGGTCCAATCTTAATTCTTAACTTTCGCAATTCTTAACGCTTAATTATACTGTCAACAGTATTTATTTTATTTAATTCACACGTAGTTTGTAGCAAGAAACGTTAAAACTGAACAAAATGAATCGTATTTCTAAAAGTCAAGTAATCTTCAAAATTTTTAAATTTCTTGCAATCAATAGAGTTTCTGAAGTTTTTTATTATCAATATATCGATATATATTGTCAAAATTATGTAATTTATATAGTTTATTATTTTATTATGTAATTTGTATTTGAATTATGTGTAATTATGTGATTTACGATGTTGAATAGTTTATCAACATCAAATTGGTCGGCATCAAATTGCGCAACGTAGGCAGTGCGGAATTGAGCCTCTAAATAAACACTGTTCCAGGACGCCAATGCCGTCGAGACCGGACAAGTCGGGAACGTCAGCGATCAGCAGCATCACGTCGGAATAAAATTAGGATGGATCCAAGGCGTTTGCATACCGTGCCTGCTGAACATATGGGGCGTAATGCTGTTTCTGCGACTCCCGTGGATAGTCGCGCAGGCCGGCATACTACAGACCATCGGCATTATCGGACTATCATCGTTCATCTGCTTCATTACGACGCTTAGCCTCAGCGCAATTAGCAGTAATGGGGAAGTAAAGGGAGGTGTGTTACGGTAACGCATTCCGTAATTCTTTTTTTTTTTTCACCGAAGGAGTGGCGTCGTGCACACCACGTACCGCTCTATATACGATGTCGTTAGACGCTCGGGGTTTGTCCCCGAACTAGAAGAGTCCTTATCATTATTATTAACCAATTTAGCCCGGGCAATTTGTCTTGATGAGACAAAACAGAAAACGTGATTATAATTCACCTAAAATTTGCTATACATTTCTAATCTAACAATTCGTTTAATACAGAATAATAATAAATGACAGAGATAAAATTGTTAATTTAAAAGCATGATAATTATTCTTTTAATGCCATTAAAAAAATTGGATGTAAAAGTTTTGAGCTTTTATGTCATCATAAAATGAGTGGATTTAATAAATTATCTTTCAGTGTAAATTTATTACAAAATCCAGTTTTTTAATTAATTTTGACTGGAGTCTGCTTTAATGCGTAGCTTAACAATATTTTAGTACATTTTTAATATTAAAAAACTGATTTTTTAAATAATCACAAGTTGATTTAAATAATTCGAATAGTTGTTTGATATTTTACATTTTTATTTATGCAGAAAGATGGTTAAAAATGAAATAAAATCAATTAATTTACAGGTGGAGTATACTTCATGATGTCTCGTTCTCTTGGGTCTGAGTTAGGCACATCGGTTGGCATCGTGTTTATGGTTGCAAACATTATATCAGCTTCTATGAACACGATCGGTTTCTGTGATTCCCTGAACGATTTATTAAAAGCAAATAATTTGAAGATCATAGATAATGGCATAAATGACGTTAGAATCGTTGGTATAATGGCACTTGTCGTTATGAGTCTTATCTGTGCGATCGGCATGGAGTGGGAATCAAAGGTATTAGATCTGTTTATTCTAGAATAATTTTGTTTATGTAAAGGAAAGTCGCCACATAAATCTCCTAAAAAGACACTTGCTTATTTCTTGGAAATTAAACGTTTCATCTTATTAATAATAATAAAAATATGATCTGTCAACATAAATAAAAAGTTAAAAACCTATAATTTATATATTTGTGATTTATTTCTATATACAAAATCAGCTAAAAACAAATTTTACAAATGTAAAAACAATATTTTTATGATTTTTTTTAATAGGGTTTTATTTCTAACTTTGAAGAAATATAATTCAAAGTGATATGATGATACATCGGCGACCTTCCTCTATATAGATCAAATTCTTATACGAGTAACTTGTTATGAAAATGATATATTAATGATAATTTGATTAAAAAGTAACGATTATAAAATAAATTTGTTTCGATTTGATATTAATGTACTATGCGTTCTATCATTAGGCACAAAACTTCCTTATCGTCATTATCATAGGTGCGATCCTCAATTTTGTAATTGGTACTATCATGGGACCACAAACCGAGGAACAAATAGCGAAAGGTTTCATAGGGTTTTCTGGTGAGTATAAAACTATAATTAGTAAAACGATATAATAACAATACGATGTGAATCAAATGAAGTGGATCTATCAAAAATCTATCAAAGAGTTTAATAACTTGTTTTAATAAAAATATATTATTTCTAGCGGATGTATTTAAAGAGAATCTCGGATCGGATTATCGGTACTCTGAGAACAATCTTTTAGACTTCTTCTCAGTGTTTGCTATCTTCTTCCCATCGGTCACTGGGATTCAAGCGGGCGCTAACATTTCTGGTGATTTGAAGAATCCGGCGAGAAACATACCTTTTTGGGACTCTTCTCGCTCTACTGATCTCTATGCTTAGTTATCTAATGTGCAGCCTTTTTGCCGGCGGTGCGGCTCTCAGAGATGCAGGTGGTTTTGAGAATGGCATTATTGTAAACTGCACTCCTGGAGTTAACTGCACGTACGGATTGCACAACAGTTACCAAGTATGTCAATATTTAAAAATATTAATAAAGATACGATATATCTTGAAATTATCATGATAATTTCATATTTCAATCTCTAATTTCTTATTTTAATCTCAAATGATAGAACCAAAAGTGAATCTTTCAAAGATAAAGTATCAATTTTTACAATAAAAGTAAAATAAAGAATTGTTCTAAATTTATTTGCAAATTAACTTCAAAGAACATAAACAAATAACAAAACTTACAATGCTCAATTAATTTCTCAATTAATTATTAGTGCATTTTTATGAAAATACTCAATGCAAAATAAAGCTGCTAAAGAAGTATCTAATTTTGCACACAGAATAAATTTAATGTTTACTGCTTAAAATATGTTTATCTAAAAGAAATTATTTTCAAATTTGCTAAGAAATTGTGAAAATATAGTAATTGTTAGAATTTTTATTTAATAAGTAGGAAATTAATACTTTCAATTAACAAATAATTTATTAATTATGAATACAATTTTATATAGAATAATTATTTTTCTCAGGTTATGCAGTTAATGTCATTATGGGCACCGCTAATGTACGCAGGATGCTTCGCAGCTACTTTGTCGACGGCGATGACAAATGTATTGTCGGTGCCGAGACTCATTCAGGCTATGGGTCGAGATGGACTTTTTCCCTTTATTTACCTTAGCAAGGGATACGGAAAGGCCGGGGAACCCTATCGAGCATACGTTCTCACATTTATCATTGCGGCAATCTTTCTCTTACCCGGTAAAGTATCCCGAAATATTACAAACTTATTGAAATATCGAATTCCTATTATCGTTAATTTGATTTCCCAGAAACTCTTAATCGTTTCTCTTTCAGCCAATCTCAACGCAGTCGCACCGTACATCACGAACTTCTTTTTAGCGTCGTACGCTTTAATGAATTTATGCACTTTTCACGCAGAGCTCGTTCGACCTCTCGGATGGCGGCCTAGTTTTAAAGTAAATTAGAAATTTATTTAGTTAAATAAAACAAGACAAAAGTCTAAAAAACATTTCTTTCTAAAAATGCTTAATCTTTATTATTGTTTGATATTTTGATACCTCTTTCACTGCGTGTATGGTATTATATCATATGTAAAAAAAAATTTATTATAATTAGAAAAGAGAAATGAAAGAGATTTTTAAAATATGCCATTTTAGATTTATTTTATCACACATGTTAATTCCTTAAACTTATATATATATATAATTTATTTATTTAGGAAGATTAATGACTACCTGTTGAGAATTAAGAATTTTGAAAGAAAAGATTAGGCTTTTTAAATATTTTTATAAAGATAAAAATATACGCGCGGTATTTTATTAATTCCTTCTTTTTGTAGTACTACAATATCTGGCAATCTCTGTTGGGTTTTATCCTTTGCGTGGTGATTATGTTCCTCATCAATTGGGAGACGTTACTCATTACCATCGTAATCATCCTCGTGCTATATTTAATAGTACTTTACTCTAAACCAAACGCGAATTGGGGCAGCAGCATGCAGGCACAAGTTTATCGAACTACAATTTCCTACGTCCACAAGTATTATCATTTAAAACAAATAATTTCTTTTGTTTGCATTTGTATTCCTTTTAATCGAATTCCTTGCTCGGAATTACAGAATGTCTGAATTAATATCACTGCCTTTGTATTTTTACTTAAAGGAGTTTTCAGTTTGAAATTTACAATAACTTTTTTTAGGATGAATTCCATTAACGAACACGTGAAGAATTATGCTCCAAAAATTTTGGCGCTTACTGGTCCACCTGCTGCGAGACCTGCGTTAATACACTTGGCGAATCTTATCACGAAGAATTCGTTGCTGATTGTTGGAGAAGTTTTTTCGGTATTACATCAATTTATATTTAGCAATATAAGTCTATGCTTATTATTTATAATTGTTTACGCGGTAAAATTATGACGCTAACTTTTCAACGCAATTTCAGACACGACTGCCATATCGATTACGCTCCGAACGTAAAAATACGAGTATCTCCTGGCTAGAAAAACAAGATATAAAATCATTCTATCACTTGTTGGATGGCTTCAGTTTAGAACGAGGTGCTACTGCGCTGATGAAGACAGCCGGGATGGGCAATTTAACTCCTAATGTGGTTCTCTTGGGTTATAAGACCCACTGGTCGACATGCAGTCATAGAGATTTGCAAGAATATTTCAATATTATTCAGTAAGTTGATTGATTACTCGCTCCAAGATTAAAATGACAAATTAATAATGAAATAAATATTGAAATTAATATCAAAATATGCGAACGGCACGTTTCAAGATTTTAACACTTGTTTTCTCTCTGCAGCAATGTTTTCGATAACAAGTTGGCGGCGGCAATCTTAAGAATTCCCGAAGGTTTGGATTGCTCACAATCAGTCATGACAATCGATGAAGAGTCGAACGGAGACGATGATAACGGAGTTCTTGCACAGAATAACTATAATAATTTGGCGGGTAATACTTTGACGCGATCTGACAGCAATGATACCTTCATGAGCTCACAGATGACAATTCCCAGAATACAAAGCGTATCAACAATAGGTAAGAGTCGATATTAAATTAAAGTAGATAAAAATTATATCGCCCCTTGTCAGCCATATTTATAATTTACAGTTAATATTTACAGTTAATTATTACTTATAACGTAAAAAACTGTATTGTTTTTTTGTTACTTAAAACGAAAAGTATTCCATTTCTTGCAAATATATCAGAATTGTTAAATAAGAGATGAGATATAATTAAAAATCGTGATCAATGTTTCGATCTCTCTATAATTGTTTCATCCGCATTTTATTTAACATCATTTTATAGATACTTCATTTGTCACACCCGATACGACATCTGTGATTGAACATTCAACAATAAATTGGAAAGCTCAAGAAAATATAAAACAGAAGAAAAGACATGCTATTGACAAATTGCTGTAAGTAAAAACAACAAAATAATAGCTTTTTACCGTACTAAATAATATAAAAAATTTTTTTCACCAAATTTAGAATTGATTTTGTTATAAAAAAAATTTAATCATATATTTTTGAAATTTGTTGGTTTCTAATTTTTAATATTACATATTTTATTAATTAAAATTTAATTAAAATTTTTATTAAAGTGACTTAATTAACTAAGAAATCAAAAAATTTATTTAATTATTTATACTATTAAAGCTTTATTTTCCATGTTTTTAATTCTCATTGTTTAATATCTTCTCGTATACATGAAATTCTCGTTAAGAAAAAAAATATTTATTTCAGAGTAATTTTTTCCATAAAAATTTATAAATTCAGCCAAATTATTTAAATTTATTTACTGTTACAACTGATCAGCAATTATTTTAGCAAAAGGCGAAATGGCAGAATAGCTTCTACTCCAGAAAATATAACAATTTTTCAAAAAGAGCATAAGAAAGGAACAATTGATGTGTGGTGGCTATATGACGATGGAGGTAACTTAAACAAATAAACGGATGATTAATATGTCAATGAATTGATATAGACGTACTTTAACCATTCGTAACGTATAGTGTTCGCTGAAATTTCTTATTCAATTTTAAATGGCAGAAGTTATTTTATTCAACAGGTTTGACAATTCTCCTACCATATATAATCAACATGCGCTCAAATTGGAAGCACTGTAAGATGAGGTTATTCGCTCTGACCGACGATAAGCAAGATATCAACACGAAAGAAAAAGAGTAAGTAAATAATAAAAATATAATGTGCTTCATAATGTGTGTATGAATACTGATAATTTATCGGTGAAGTTATTTTGAGCAAACAATATTATTAAAAAATGTAATTAAAGTATAAAATTATTAATTTTTCTGCAGAATGATTGAGATAATGAACAAAATACGAATTGACTACAGAAGCCTGAAAGTAGTAGATGACACTAGCGTCGAATTAAAACAAGAAACACAGACTTTGTTTGATAAATTAATATCCGATTTTCGAGTAAATGATTCTTCCGAAAATAGTGGTAAGTTATTGGTGCAACTTTTGTTTCAACAATATCACTAATATGCAACTAATATTCAAAGTGTGAGAATAATAATTATTTTTAGGATGCTATATTACTGATAACGAGCTTCACGCTCAACGACATAAAACGCATCAGCAATTGCGATTGCGACAATTATTATTGGAAAATTCGAGTCAGTCTACCTTGGTAGTTATGTATGTATAATCATATATATTAAGTATTATACACACACAAACACACATCCTAATACTTATTGTAGAATATAAATATTTAATATTCATGTATTTACGTATAATAATTTTTTAATTTTGAATTAAATATAAGAAATTATTATACAAGTATTGACATTCGATATTTGCTTGCCCTTGTTAATTAAATACTATTAAATATTATATCGATCTGTATATTTAAATATTCTTGAAAATATATTTAAAAAGAATATTTTTGTAAGATATTCAAATATATGGGTTAAACATTTATATATAAATATGTAACTCTCATATCTTATTCTCTTACATTATTTTCTGCATTACGATTTACATTATTCTCTTTACATTATTATTAATAATTTCTCAAAAAAGCTTTTGTAATTTAAAGGTCTTTACCAATACCAAGAAGGGGTGCAGTTTCGGCGCCATTATACATGGCCTGGCTGGAGGTGCTTACAAGGGATATGCCACCTACTATTTTAGTCCGTGGAAATCAAACTTCTGTGGTGACAGTCTACTCATAAGCCACACAACTAGGTATAATTATCTATTAAATGATTATATGTACATACTAAATAATTAATATATGTATAATTACTGTCGTGCTCAATATATTTATATTTAAAATTTCTTATTTATAAATCTCCGATTATGAATCTGCAATTGTATAAAATATACTTATGTATAATAAATGTAAAAAAATTACGATCAATTTGTATCTATCCCTCGTCTTTACAATTTATTTCATTTTTAGTACTTAAAATAAGAATATATGCGTATATTAATTCTTTTTCTCTCCTTCTTTCTAAAAAAAGTTATATGTACTGCTTTTAATATTTTTTAACTAAAAGTATTTTAGTCAAAAGGTATGAAAAAGATAAATTAAGCTAATAAAATAAATAAATGTAGATATTTAAATATAAATTTATTTTATAAATAATATTTATATCTCTTCTCTTATAAGTAGATCTGTTTGCTTGCATGTTTTGCATTTAGAGTCTCGTTCTCTCTCTCTCTCTCTCTCTCTCTCTCTCTCTCTCTCTCTCTCTAACGTCCAAAAATTGTATATCTCTTTTTAAGTGTAAAAATTTTTTTGGGAATTTCAAACAACGCAAATCTTATACATATATCAAGGTAATTAGACTTTGATATGCTTTGAATTGAATCGATACTGTAAGTTGAAACTAACAAAACAGATAATTGAAACAAATGATTTAAATGAAAGAATTAAAATGGAGGGACAAGAATGAAGAAAAACATTAAGAGAAAATAGGAAGTAATTATAAAATTATAAAATTGTTCCGTCCAATACTATATACATATGTCAATAGATACAATCACCGACGAGATATCATTAAAGACTATCAAATCCTTGAAATCCTGGAAAATTTTCGTGATCATCAAAGGGAACCCGGAGGTATTACAACTGAAGAGTGTTGATGTTATCAACTATTAATACATAAATTTGCGATTGTTAATATAAATATTTAAATAATGCATTATTAAAATCATGATTTTTTATTATACAAATACTTTACAAATAATTTAAGAATTCTTATCATGCTACTGTAAATATCATTATATATTGGCGCAAAATTATAATTTTTTTTATACATATTGTTATCATTTTTAAATATGAATAATCAAACACGAATGGTAACTATAAAAATTCAGTTTTAAATAAAATTAACTATTAGCAAGTTGTAAATATATGTACACGTCTGAAAAACATTGGTCTAATAATAAATCGTAAAATTAGTACTACATTGTATTGGCTAATTGCTTAAATTTTAACAGTCACGCTAACTCCCATAAGATTGTCAGTCTTTAATAGTATCTCGTCGGTATATAATTGTACCATTTGCACCAAATCTGCAAAAAATCTGGCAACACACTATAGAGCTATACAATTTTAGAGATTAAAGGCCGCGCCTTTTCATGAGATACCATCGGCCACGCGCGCGGACATTTGAAATGACCGATATCGTAATGGAGATTTCCACGATCGAAGGTCGGGGCAATCGTTCGACAGATGTATGCATAAATATATGTATACCATATATACGACGTAATGAGAACAAAATATTTTCATCAAACAGATTCTATTAATATTGCTGTCGTGCAAAAGCGTGATTGCGAAGCTCGGAGATTTGCGAATATGAAACGTCCGGTTCGCGATTTGTTTCTTATGCACGGCTATGTAGCTTTATTCACATATCCTCGATTGTTTTTTTTATATAAAATGAACATGCTCCCAATATAAATGCGTTCTTTCTAGAAGCTAATCTGAATTCTGACAATGAGAATCAAGATTGGAAACATATATTTTTTACATTGCCGACAGAAGGTTAATATTCTAATAAAATTTGCAGCAAACATTTGTCTTCGACAGACTCGCGGTTATCTGGAGAATTTTTTAAATAAGTTGACATGGTTTGACGCGAGAAAAGAGAGATTAGATTAAAGATGATAAATTATGAAGCTAAAAATTTCGCTGCAACTATCTGTATACAAGCAATTCTGCCGATTGTATTAATCGCCGATTTATTATAATTAAGTTAATCAAACTTTAATCAAAATCACTAAGAGAATGGGGAGGAGAAAGAGAGAACTTTGACCAAAGTCACTAAGAAAGAGAAAGGGGAGGAGAAAGAGAGAACTTTGATCAAAGTCACTAAGAAAGAGAAAGGGGAGGAGAAAGAGAGAGAGAAGAGAAAGATACAGAAAGAGAGAACGACTTTTACATACAAGCTGTATAGTGGATTTGTGTGTTGACTTATAACTTTCCTACATTTTTACCTTTTATACTTGCAGATTATGACTTTTATTGGTCGATTTGAGACAATATATATAGGGGAGATTAATAGAGCAGGAAGATTATCGCATGAAAGGCTATAGAGGGCTCGGTTCCTAAAAAGTATAAAGTACGTCGTTGCCGCGTGGCATTATCTGTGCGAATGAGGGAGCCTTGTTTACATTCTCTTTTCTTGGTTTACGTACTTATCCTTAATCGCGACGAGTGACGCTTATACGCGTGCATTAATTAACGAGACAGTGCATTGTCTTGTCCCACTGAAACGAAGGTCTATTAACACATCCGCGTAATACGTGTTTAGCAATTCATATCTCTAAATGAATATTTAAATGGTGACGATCGTGGCAAACTAAATCGGATAAGAATATTCGGGGCAATTGGACGATAAAGAGGGATCGAGAGATCGAGTAATTAAGTTCGTATAACGTACGTGTGTTAATAAGTTTCCGCATCGCGACGCACCGAGAAGTTGTGCCGGAGAGCAGTCATCGAATAGATAACGCGTATCGTAAGTCGTGAATTATATACGTACATTAATTTATGTGTATATATGTGTTTATATCTTTACGCCTATATAAGATTCAATAAACATCTAAAAATCACAATTTGTAGTCGCTGATCGAAATGCAATTGAAACATATAATATACGCGGTGTAAAACCGGCGAAGGAACGGAGAATCAATTACAAAATTAATTAATCAGGCCGAATAACGAAACGCGTTCCAGATAATTCTCTAAAAAAAAATCGATTTTTAATTACTTACTAAATAGATTATATCCATTGCGTGATGCTTTATTATAATTATGAGTCACGAAATGCTGGCTGAGATTTCAGCTAGTCTGACGGCGACCGATGACACGTGACGTGACTATCCCCCCCTTTGGAAGAAATATCATCCTAATTTGATAAAGCTTTTATATCAGCGTGCGTCGATTCCCATGAGATAAATCGTGTGCGGGTGGGTTGCGCGTGCGCGCGCGCGCGCGCGTGTAAATAAATAAAGCTTAAATGGTGCGCGCCTTATAGCACGCGCAGCGCAGCTTCTCGCGCTTTCTTTGCCAAGAGTGGTCAAGAGCGCAACGGCGTCACGCCGACGGCGACGCATATTCGTCCTCTCTCGAAGCGGCCGCGCTCCGGTCAGGGCAGTCAGTCAAAACACTGATCGAGTGATACTCACTTGGCGGTCGGCACTCTCGGCAGTCTCGGCAGTATGCGTCGACGATGTACGTCTCGATACGCGGTACGCGGCGGCCTCGCGTGAGCTATCGTCCGGCGCGTGAGCTATTGTCTGCCCTCGGATGACCTGGCGAACCTGGCGATCTTCCCCTCGCGCTCGTATGGCTGTGACCAGTGTGATCGCGAGGCGCGAGAGATCCTACGCTGGTAAGCTAAGCGCCGCTGGTAAGCTAAGCGCCGCCGGCGAGCTAAGCGCGCCGGTCTCTATCATGCGGAAAAACAATGCTCGCAATAACCTCGACATCCCCGAATTCCCCGAGTCCCGCGGTCGGGACGAGCGCGGAGCACGGAGCGATGATGACAGCTCGTTGCCGGGAGAAATCCCCGTTCGATAAAACTCCGGGATTTTTAGTTGGTCTCATAAACGCGAGCACTATTCTCGGACGTGATTCAGAACGTTGTTTACATCGTCTCTCGTAGCTCCATAGATATATATGTGCGTGTTGACGAGAATGATAAATTCGTGTCGCTATAACCTATTACATGTCATTCAGAACTTGAGATATACAAGTGATTTATGTAGAATCTAGCATGCTTTTCGTAATATTTTTTTTTGAAGTTTTGAGTCCGAATTTACACAAATATGTATTGCCAAAGATGATTTCATTAACGGTACAATAATGTTGATAGGTTATGACCATTTTGTGGAATGTATACATGACTAAAATAACGTGAGAAAAATGGTAAGCAATTTACCACAAGAATTCAAGAGGTATCAACGAAACAGGAATCAGCTACGTCACATACTTGAGGAGACACAACGTACATTAGAAGTCATAAAGCTTGAAAATTTTTTCCCTGGAGGTAAATTATTCACGTTTATTCACTTAAATTGGCAAGTATATTATGCCGCTGGTTGTAAGTTTATTTATACATGATATTTCTTGTAGAGAATATTATCGAGGAATTACTGCCACCGTTGACCTTGGACAGAGTGACCCACATTCTTGATAATTCCCCAGCAATAGTTATTTTTGGGCAAGACAATAAAGCCAAAGCCTCGCTGGTCAACAACTTGCTCTCTATCGACATTTTGCCACTGTCCAACAATTCATGGAGATGGGTCAAGATTACTTATGGCCATACGAATCATGTCAGTCTTACGTTAGGTTTAGAATACGAAGTAGTCGAGACGTTACAAGCAAACGAAAAATCATGGAGCACCCTTCCGCTCGAGGATCTGGAGAAGTCGTTAAACGAGGATATCAATTGTCCTACAGTGCTGGAGGTGAAGTTAGATCAAGCAATACTGAAAGAAGGTGTTCAAATATTTGTTGTCCCCAACACTGGCGTAGTAAAAGTTCTCGCTAAAGGTTCACTGAAGATTTTACCCGTATTTCTTTATGCTCTCGGGGAGCAGCCGTTGACTGAGGAAAATTTGGAAGAACTGAGAGATTTGAAGGAGACTTATCCGTACAATCCAATTTTATTCATATCGTCGTTAGCTAATGTTCTGTTGGATGGCACAGATGCGGAATTGACTGAGTCTGAGCAGCACAGTCTGCAAAATCGAATTGAAGTGCCGAGCGTATCTAAGGAGTCGAAGAGTGATGATAGTATTAATATTGACAAAATGAATTCACTCGGTCTAACGTGGCTAGATCAGTTGAGCAGCTTGGGATTCCTCGGGATGGAAGAGTCTGTGGAAGTTCATCAATTAACATGGCTCGTCGGCGAGCAGTACGTTAATAATTCGAGCGATCTGGTGGATTCATGCAAAAAAACGGACCGCGTCTTACACTTCACGCGTGCCTGCTTGCAAAGCTATCTGATTAACGCAAGCACTTATTTGAATGAAATACACACGAGCAGTCTACGTAAATTTATTTTAAGTGCGTTTGACATGGCACGAAAGATACAGATCACTCCTAGGAGGATACAATACGCCCAACAAAAGGAAAACGAACTTTACGCTAGTCTAATGAAGGTTGTTAATGAGCAGCAGGTGGAATTAACTGAATTGATACAATGTATTATTCAGGAGATGAAAGACGATATATTAGGATCTGCCGGTGATGTTTCCCAGTATCAGGTCGTTCCTTTCGACGACAGTGAACAAACGGAGTGGACGGTCACGGTTCGCGTTGCGACGTCGGAAGTTCAACGATTTGTGCTGAGCCGCTTGGGCGAGAAGGTCGCAAAGGAGCTCGTAAACTCGGTTAACTGCCTTCGAGAGACTTTCATCGGAACTCTTCAACGTTGCTTAATAAGTCTCGAGAAAACCTACGAACATGATAGCGGCCTACTAGCTAGCGATGCCCTAAAGCAAATACTCTCCGCGGCGTACAACGTGGAATTGCATAATTCGTCACCGTCCTTGGTGCATTCGTTCTTGGAAAGATTGAGACAGCTCTTCAAATCTTTACCGCTGCCATGGACACCCACTCCGATTCTGGACGCGGCTTGGAGAAGGAAGGTTACTGTCGACATCTTGAATTCCCTGTCGGCAGCGAGATTGGCGAAGACAATTTCCACGCAGTTCAGAGACAAACTGAGATCGTCGCACGATGCCTTCCAGACCGCCTTGAAGTCTCTAGAAAACTATTACTCGGGGAAGTTAGAGAGAACCGAGGAGCAGAGGGTGGCTATACGAAAGTACCACGCGCCCAAGCTAGCTAAACTCGCGTTGGAGTCAACGTCGATGATGGACACGATTCGCTTCGGCATTCCTCAGTACGGCAAGGAGATTGGTAGAGGACAGTACGGTGTGGTGTTTGCTTGCGATGGCTGGGGCGGAGCGCCGGGACCGTGCGCCATAAAATCCGTCGTTCCGCCGGACGAGAGACATTGGAACGATCTCGCAATGGAGGTTTACTATACCAGGTCGATACCGGACCACAAGAGGATAGTGAAGCTTCGCGGGTCTGTTGTCGATCAATCGTACGGCGGAGGATTCGGATTGGGCACCGCAGTTCTTTTAATCACCGACCGGTTAAGTCGCGATTTGTACTGTGGCATACACGCCGGCCTTTCGTGGCTGGAACGTATACAAATAGCAATAGACGTGCTGGAAGGAATACGCTATCTCCATTCGCAAGGCCTGGTTCATCGTGATATCAAATTGAAGAACGTCTTACTCGACATGGAAAACAGGGCTAAACTAACCGATCTCGGATTTTGTATTACCGAAGCTATGATGTCGGGCAGTATCGTGGGAACGCCGATTCACATGGCACCGGAACTTCTGTCTGGCCATTACGACAGCAGCGTCGATGTCTATGCCTTCGGCATCTTGTTTTGGTACATATGTGCTGGGAAGGTTCGATTACCATACGCATTTGAGCAATTTCATAACAAGGAGCAATTGTGGACAAGCGTACGAAAGGGTAAATACCTCATTACATGAAGGGGTTGAGCCAATATTATAAACGTATATTTATTGTTTGCTAAAGAGAGAAAAGATTAATTTATCGTACATTTCACATTATTTCGATTTTACAATTAACAAAAAACACATTAAAATTTTTATAATATATATATACAAATCTCTTGTTAATTCAGTAACAGCAAAAATGTATCGTTATTCTTAGCTGATGACACATTCTACAATTCAAATTATTTTTACTTATCTCTGTCTCTATCACGTACATTACATAAAGGAAGGCATTAACCGGACGTATTCACATTAGGTCTTAGGCCTGAGAGACTACCACATTTTGACGAGGAGTGCTGGACGTTAATGGAACAATGTTGGTCTGCAGAACCGTCCAAACGACCGTTGCTCGGTGCAATTCAACCGGTGTTAGAATCTATTCAGGATAAAGCAGAAAGAGGCAAGTCCTTGCAACTAGGCGCACTGCTACAAGAGGGTTCTTCATTCAAACAAATAAATCCTGCGCTAGCATTAGCAGAGCCTAATAACCAAAGAGGTGCTGTATTCAGTCCGCTTCCTCCTAGACGCAAGGCTTTTAGAACTGTCAATCCTGTCGCAAGACCTTTTCACAAGACCAAATTTTTCCAAACGGGTATCTACTCTAACATGTTCGTTCAAATGCGAGAATTTTAAATGCCACGGGGGACCGAATGTGTCGTACTGTTACTCTGTTACAGATAGCTTATTGATATATTTATTGCTTGGAATGCGATTGATATACGGCTCATCATTCTCATTTTCACATTCGATGATAACCTTAGTAGTATTTTATAGCACAGTATTAAAGTGACGAACTTTATGTCTAGATCTTTAGTTATTTCATTTTCTTTTTAGACTATAACACGTTTCTTTTTAACTTTTATAAAATCACGTAGTAGGTACATAAGTATGTGTAGGAGAATCAAATATAATTGGGCCGAAGTCATTCCAAATAGTATATCAACAATAAATATTCAACACATTATACTTTAAATATTTTATATAGTTCTCGTTATGAAAATTGTTGTAGGTTTTATAGTAAATAATGTATATAAGCATTTGATAATATAAATATTTTTATTCCTAGTTAACGAGATATGTTGAATTTTTTTGGTTCTTTTTTTATATGAAAACATATTTATTGCTATATAGTATTTTGTTAAATTACTTCTTAATATTCCTAATTGTGATGACTGCATGATTTTGTTAAACTGGGAAATACGGCCAACCATGAATGTATATAATATTGTTGAAGAATAAATAAAATTTCACACTTTTGTATTTGCTGTTGACACATACTCATTTTCTCTCTTATAAAACCTATCGCACCTATACTTATACATATCTGCAGATAATACGTACACTCATTACTTCGCGAATAGAGATCTATCTCTGTATCTAATTATAAAAAATTTATTTTATATTGCTTTCAGATATAGTCTTCGCAACCGAACCTGCATGAAAATTTGGATGGATATTGATAAGACAATTGTTTCAAGAGAATAATAATCATATACATTTTTAATTACTCGATGAGTGTGAAGATGTGAAGATCATGCACAGAACAATTTGATCAAAAAGCGACATAAATGTATAAAGTTTGTATATATTTTTTTAAAAAAGGAATAGCAATCTCTTAAGGTACGAGTTATTAGTTATTTAGCTTTTTAATTCCGTTCCATCGATTAATTTTAATCGAATATTTATAAAGCAGTTTATAATATTACATATATATAGAAAACATAATTGTCTATGTTTTAAAAAAGATATGTTTATGAACATTAGATACTTAGCTGAGCATTATTTATTACATATTACATAATGTCTGTGATGTGCTCCATGACTAACCATATTTTTACACCATTTTCAAAAAGAAATCGTTTTGCAAAATTCGATGTTGGAACAATAATAATAAAATCTAGTGCAGATGCTGAATGACCAATTCTTTTTGTAAAGATTCTTGAAGCTCTTTTACTTAATTATTTATTGTATTTAATTACTTACCGAACATGTATAATCTTGAAATGTATATAAAATATATATTAAACACTTACATAAAAATGGGACCAAACTGCAACTATGAAACAGATGAAAGTGGAAGAAAATATCATAAGGAATAAAATTGGATTGAACTTTACATAATATTAACGTCAGAATAGGAAATTAAAATTATTAATTTAATTTTGCTTTATAAATTTTTTTCTGTTCCTGCTTCAAAGTCGCAGTTTCGTTCATTTAAGCATAAAGCATCCTATGCAAATTAAAATTAATAAGTGAAAAATCCGAATGTTTTTTTAGTTTCTTGTGTGACTTAATATTATAATTTCCTATTTGATTATAGATCCCAGAGCCATAAGTTTTAAATTAATGATCAAAAACCTATGTTATGATGTTGACAAATGTTATCTAAAGAATGTTATTTAAAGTATTATTGTCTTACTAGAGATAAACCTACTAGAGATAAATTTTTTATTCTTAAGATAGTGAATATATTTTTATTTTAAATAATGTAGATCACAAGAAAAAATATATAAACAAAATGTTTTCAAAAACAATTGCTTGAGTTGTAAATATAACATATCTTAATATAGGCAACATCTACATGTAATATTATCTTAATATCCATGTATTCGTTTACAGCAACAAATCAAGATTACATTTTGCCTTTTCCAAATCATGTAGAAATTTGTAAAATTGGCCTATTGTCATCTCAGTAAATATATTCTTGACTTTACCTTCATCCTCAAGACATAACTTAAGTTGTAGAAATGACTTTGCAACATTGTCGGAATCGTTACTTGCTGCTGTCACTAAAAAGAATTGAAAAATAATATTAATGTTTGATATCATTACGAGAATACATAAACTATTGTAAGAATACAATTTGGAAAAAAATATTTGTACAGTTTGTGTTAAATTATATCACATATCTTGTTTATTATTATTATCTATTACTATCAAACGTAATATTTAAAATGTATACAATTTATATATTAATAATATAATTGAGAAATAGAATATTCTTGTTTCTTATTTTTAACAAATCTTCTAATGTATAAGAAAAATTTAGGTATTTAATAAAATTTGTATCCCACACACACACTAGGTGTTCAGAGTTTAAGAGTGATATATAAATAACCTACAAATATATGATAAACATCGATAATAGTTTCAGTTTATACAACATCAAAACTATTATCTCACCTCCAAATCTCCACGATATGTCAAGTATTTTGCTGATACCTTTCTCCATCTTCAAAATTTCATGTGTAATGATAAATATTTAAAAGTCGGAACCACAAGCATCTATATCTCAGCTGGACAACGATGAACGATTGTCAACATACCGTCATAAAAGGAGGGTTAGGGGGGAACGGCAGACAGACGCATGGCCTATGGAGACGCACTCACAATCAGCGCACTCTAGATAGTCTATGGAACACTCGCTGGAGTCTCTTCTAGCAGCCTCTCTGGCAATCAAAGAGATTGCTGGTAATACCACAGCTATACTGTGCAGGTAATACTACGTCCGACTATTCAGTTGAAACGGCGAACGGTACGCGGCGCGCGTGCGCTCGCCCGATCGCCATGACAGTTTTTAAGCGCGTCGGTTCTAAACACAGCGCGTCGGTTCGGAGCGCGTACGCTTCGCGATAAATCGCGAATTTTATCCGTGTGAAATGCTTTAACGAGTCAAGGAATTTTTCGCTGAAGGACTCGCCTGCAATACTGAGGTACTGGATGCTCGCGTCCACTGCGTCTACATGAACAATCCGTCAACGTACGTGGGCACACGTTGTAAACAGTCGCGCGGCGAATGCATGCAATCATGCGCGCGGACCTCGTCGTGAAGCAAAAGTGAATTCTATCTCGCGTTTTCGCGTAACGCGAAGTTTGCGAACTCGCGATTTTTGCGTTCCTTCGAAAGTAAAGCGCGCGCGATCGACTTTCGAAGTTTGTTCGGCAGTGTCTATACATACATACGCGTATGTACGTGTGATCAAGTGCCCGTTTCCTCGATCCTCGATGGAGTTGACGCGGCGCATCTCTAACAAGGCGAAGTTTGAGTGGAACAAACTGCGATACATTGCTGCCATTGATGGTGAGTAAAATTAATTTAAATATCTATATTTATTATATGTACCACGGGAACAGAAATGCCTAATTATCAATTTGTTGAGATATCAGCTTATATTATGCGCGCGCGCGCGCGCGCGCACACACACACACACACACACACACACATACGCACGCGCGCGCACACACACACACACACACACACACACACACATACGCACGCGCGCGCACACACACACACACACACACACACACGCGCACACACACACACACACACACACACTGCAAATTCAGATAGCTATAGACATTTCTGTCCCCGTACGTACTCGCGCGAAAAATAATTTTTTTTCGCGCACGAAAAATCGTTATGGTTAAAATATAGTTAATATTTATAATAAATATTAACTATATTTTAGTTAATATTTCTAATTAAACCAAAATTATTAAATAATGCCAATATGTGCGAGCCAAGCCGGATGTTGGTGTGTTTAATAATTTTTATTGTTACAATATTCACAGCCACACGCAAATTACGCGTTTTTATTGATTTTAAAACCCAGTCTTTACATAAAGCCGGAATGTAATGTAACGAAATTAAATTGATGAACAATTTAATACTTTTGATGGTAACAAACATCTGTAACTATTTTCAATTATATGAATATGTTTGTTAGCATCAAAAGTATTAAATTGCTCATCAATTTAATTTCGTTGCATTAGATTCCGGTTTCATGTAAAGAACTGTGTTTCAAGACCGACAAAAATGCGACGCGCAGTTTGCGTATGGATGGATAACAATAAAAATGTAACAATAAAAATCATTATACATATTACAACATTCGTGTCAGCAATGACATTATTTAATTATTTCTCTATTTATTCACAGAAGCCTAATTACTTTTAATTTAAATTTATTTATAATTAAATTAAAATGGTAATGATTTGATTATTTTTATTTATGTATTCATATTTATTTGTGTTCAATTTTTTTTAAAGTCGATAGTACGTTTTTCGATTTATACGATAGCTGGTAAATAAGATTTCTATCGGACAGATTTACGCAGGATAAATTTTCCGTTGCCATCAGTAAATAAAATAAAAAAATAAATCCATAAATCCATAAATTAATTGTAGGTAATTATACAAATTTGATATATCTTCCGAAAGTACAAAATCATTGAAGTAAGACTGATAAATTTAATCTCAGCAGAAATAAGAATTGGTAAATGTCTGATAAATTGAAATTTATATATTTTTAATTACTATTTAAGATTAATTAAATCTATTACATAAAGATCTCTCGAAGATTGAAAATGTTATCATGACCTCATGATAACATTATAGATATAACTGTCTATTATTTATTTTAATATATATTAAAATGATACGTATTTTCTTGCGACGGTGTAATATTTTTTAATAATATATTTAATAATTAAATAATTTATCTCAAGAATTTAAAGATATAGTTTATATACAATTTAAAATTTTTATTTTGCATTGTTTATTAAAGAGTATGTTACAGTTACTATATTATTACAATATTGTTATAATGCTATTATTGAGTCAGAAGAACAAATTCAGAGAAATATATATTTCTTATATATGTCTTTTTTAATAAAATATTAAATATATTTTACAAATTAAAAATTATTTCGAATAAGATATATAAAACACGATTTTTCCGCTAAAAATTTTCTTATCTGGTCGAAGTAAATTAAATCTACTGGCGAGTAGATTATTAAGAATATCCTGATGTATTACAAGCATTCTGATATTGATCATTTTTACTGGCATGTTGAACGAGTGGATAAAAGGGATGTAAAAACCACTGATGGTGTATTTAAATCTTGTTTGTAGACATTGCCTACCAATAAAAAATCAGAAAAAAGCAGAATGTAGGGGTTGAGTGTAGGGGTATGTCAGATTAAGCATCTGTAGCTGACAAGCAGCATACTCTTCGCTCAAGAGATTTCGTTTGCATGTAATACTACGGGGATACGATATATTATATGACCAGAAAATAAAATTTGAATTATATGGCCAATTAAAATTGAATTTCTAAATTGAATATAATTTTATTAATATTTTATTTTAATACATTTTAAAACTATATTTTGTGTAAAGTTATTGTCTGATATAAATGAATATCTGTACAGTTTAAAACTGTTAGAACGTTTCAAAGAATAATTAATATAAAATTAATGGAAATATTATTAATATACTCTATGTGTTGTTGAAAGAAGAGTTATTGGTATATTTACAAAATGTTATAAATCTTGGAAATATTTTCTTTCGCGTATATGATATGTAGTGCACTACGTAAAGAAAAAACGTAGACAAGATTTGTTAATACTATTTATATTTTTATTAAGAAAACTTAGGCTTACATTTTGCGTACAAAAAAAATATGAAGATATTTAAAAATAGATATAGTGCATTTATAATGCTTAGGTAAATGTAGATCTGTTGTCTAACGATGTCTAACGATGTCTAACGAAAAAATTAGTTGCTTCACTTTACTTGAAATGCTTAATTTAATTTTATTTAATGTTTAATAATGTTTTGTTATAGTAATAATAGTTATGAACTGTCAGATTCGTATCAACCTGATTCTTCATTGTGTATTCGTGGGGGAAGACACGTTTTGTACATATTAGGCAATATTCTACATCGGTTATTGTTGGCGCTTGTAAAGTGGGAGACGCGCAAAACGGCGGAAAGATTGTGGGGTGGCTTCTTACCGCAATCACCTGCGGCTATTTTAAAGACACTTCCACTTTAATTATACCAAACCGCTCTCGCGATATTACGATATTATGATATTACGAAGCATAAGCCGGGTCCCGGAGATTTAGGGTCGCGGAAAGTTTAAACTGTGCACACCCCAAAAACCCATCCCGTTACGATTTCTCCTCGACCGTTATCTAACTTCGACGATAGCGTTACTACCGCTTTCGTTTTCCAGTATTGCTGGAAAATACCTACTTACCTCCCCTGAGTAAATATATAAGCTAACGTAAGACGTTATTGCTGGGGCGATAACACGAAATATCTAACGTGCAGTACCCTTCTACAATAATATTATATGCTCTGCTAGATATAAAAGATGTAAAAATTTGATTCAGCGTAACTTACTAAAATTATATCAATTCAATTTAGGTCCAAGTTTATTTTGAATTAAAAATATTTTATCTGCTATAATTGCGAAGAAACATTACAATAAATATAAATTCTACTAAATTATAAATATAAATTATAATGTTATATTACAATTAAATATTATTTTATTGTTTAATAATATTTCATTTATCGCTATAATAAGAAGCGAATTTAATAATATTCATAATATCTTTATATCACAAAGCTTAATTCCTTTTCGACGGATGTACTAATAATCGCATATTATCACATCAGACTTGCTACCATAAAATACGCGCTATGTCGTACAAAAAAAATTTTAATGAGAAAGTAAAGTTTAAAGCACTGGGGAGACGGTAGAGTGGATTTGGCGTGCATTAAGGGCCGCACCTTCTCTCGAAAATTCGCGGGTGTAATCAGTAATCAAATTTATTAGTTTCTATTGTCTTGGGGGGCGAAATTCTTTTCCGATTTTATGGCGTGGAAAGACGATATAATAAGGAGAGAGCCGCCTCGAGCGAAGCTGCGAGTAACGAGGGAATAAGAATGGCTAGGCGGTCGGGGGTGGCTTCGGGGGTGGCTCAGTTCCTCGGCAGGAGGAGGGCAAGATTTACTGGACTCGCTAGTGGTCGCCAAGTTCGTAAGGGACGCCTTCTCGAAAATATTAAAGCGATATAATACGAGGACGCGTGAACTTAAACGAACGATTTAGAGAATGATAAAGTTGCTTATTAAATTGTTATTTGAACATATGTAGAAACTTATTCAAAATTATTTATGGCAGCTAGAATTATTTATACGTATTATTACGAGTAATAATATTAATAAATATCTCGTCAAATTTAAAAATGCATGAATTCTAAAACAAATATTGAATTCCTTTTATCCATAAAGTTTGTAAGAATATATATTACGGAAACCGCGACATCAGGGAGGAATGAAGGAGATAACTCAAATTTTCCAGATTTATTAATTTCCGAAAGCGTTGGAGTCGCGAACGCGTCAGAATCGATTCGCACCGGTGCGGTGACAAGAAATCTGTTGACTCAGGAGCGCGAGAGGTGGCCGTAATAAAAATAAATATTCCCAATGTATGCGATCCGAGTGGGACGAGCGGGGAGTAAAGTACGGGGGTTGCGAGGGGAGAAAAGGTGGTGGCACGATGTCGTTTCCCGCTTGTATGCTCCATAACGATATATAAAGCCGACATATTTCCGAATAAATCGTTTTTTTCAAATCTCTTGCATAGAACGACCGATAAACTCGACGTGGAT